CGCAACCTGGCCCCACAAAATCCAATCGGTAATATTGTTATTCAGGTAGCCGCGCGAACGAACCGTCAGTATTCTAATCCGCGTTCGCTTGCCGGTCTTGGGTTCAATTCCCCGAGACTGCAGACATTTTTCTGATGGCCCAAGAAAGTGTTTGAGATCATACGTTGAAAGGTAAGGCCCCCGTCATTCCTTGCTCGCACAAGACTTCTGAGGGTTGCTCGTAAGGGGGCAACCGAATGACGGATATAACAATTTTAGAACAACAATGTTCTACGGGGCATTAGCAAAGAAAGTAGTTGTTTTTCCTCCCGTCATCTACCATCATTGTTCATTTTATGAACATTTGTGAAAATGACTAAGCTTTTTTGTATTTATTCAACACTTCATTCCACGTTGAGCATTGTGGCTATTTCGTAGTTGAAATCCCTCAAATTTGGTGGTTCAACATTTAGAATTCTGATCACCCTGTATCTGTTCCAATTAAATGTCAGTAGATAGTGAATCAAAATTTGAGATAATGAACATGTGAGCCGTTTTGACCAATAATGAATAGTTTCAACACAAAAAATCCTAGTTGAATACTTAATTTTGAGCACCCTATATCTCTGTAATCATTTCCGCTAGATTCCAAGTGTGATACATTGATGAAATCAACTCTTCGAAGAGAATCTAAATATGCAATGAAATACAGGGTGTTCCATTTGAGATAACAGAGTTGATACAACTTTATGGTATAAGCGGCAACGCTGCATTGCACAAAATATTTTAGGCGGATAGAGCATGGGCGTGATTTTCATTCCATTGAAGAAGGAGCGCACTAATAGATGCGGATTTTTGTCGTGACGTCAGCAATTGTTCTGATGGAATCCATGCTGGGACGATGGAACAATGAATTATACAACACATTGATGGAAAAACGGATTTCGTTGTGTCAGTCGTTATGAATCTTCAGAATTAGAAGAGAACGATTTTATTGTTTCACACTTATTACTCTATCTTCTGAAATCTCCCAAAAAATCTGGAAATTCGAAAATTCTTCAATATTTTGAATAAATATATCTAAAATGTATCAATTGTTATGTCAGTCTTCTCCCAACCGCTGGATTCTCGTATAGCGATTTGAAAGTGCATATTTTATTAACAACAGTCTGATGGATTCTGGATTCTTCGATTTATGCGGATGACAAAATCTTGGAATGAAAAACGCACCCCACGCTTGATTATCCAAGCCCACAAATTTTCGAAATGATCTGTCATCCGGTTATCTAGATACTTCTAATGTGCCATCCACTGTCTTTTTTTTTGCACATGCAGCAATATGGATGGTACTTTCAATGCTTCGTTAAGGACGAAAAAGGGAATTGTTTGTAGTAAGGTATAATGGATAAGGGGTCGATTCTGTTCGGATCTTGTTATAACATTGCTAAGACCACAATATTGTTTTGATGGTAACATATAACAATATTGCAATGCAATTCTGTATTCTGTTTGGACAGTAACTGCTAGATTAGTTTATAAGTTCAAGTGATATCAAACAAATTGAGAATTTTTGAGCTGACAACACTGGTTTTAACTCGTTTGTTAAGTGTTAAGTACCGTTATTACCATTATTTTATGAAGAAGAAGAGTTTATGATTCTCTAACCTACCAAATCAGTCTGTCCTGCACTCCACTGACATTTTTCAAATAATATTCAAATTGACAGAATGTATGTTTGTATTTGGTGAATTTGGTTGTCGTGCAAATGGCGCAATAAGTAATTAATCATATCCCGAAATTGAAAAACAACCAAAAACCGAATGAAAATGACCGTGAATTTTTTTGGAAATAAACCTGATTCATATAACCGGAAAAACTCATGTTGCTGACTTTTTCCAGTCAAATGGCTTGATAAACTTTCGATTAGGCAAGTCAAATGGATTGCTGGTGTCTCTGATGATATGCCGATATTATAGTCTCATAATTCCTCTACAAATGGAAACTTCAAGGAGAGGTTTTCAAGTAGTTAGTTACACAAGTGAACTCATCATATGTTTATAATCACCTATTTTCAAAATTGTAGTGGGAAAACAAAGAATCCACTGCCATTTTCAACCTTGTTATGAGATAGCAAGCACAAAATTGATATTGCAGAGATAGCAAGAAATTGACATTGAAGATGTCATTGAAATTGACAGATCATATTTCCAAGAATCTATGATTGGAATTCTACTGTTTCGAATCTTGCTGTGATAGCAATATCTTCTATACAACCATATTACTATTTGCAAACAGAATCGACCCGATTAACATGTGAAGGTTATACATTTCGCCTTTGCCATGTTTTGAATTCAGCTCATCTCGTAAGGTCGAGGATTTTCAGTATAGTAATCACCAATCACCTACAAACAATTACAAAAATCGAAAATCTTGTTCCCCAAAGGGTCTGTCTAGCACATGCCATGATTAAAATGTCACTCCAGTAACGACAACAAACATACGACGAAGTGTGCTGAACTGACTATATAAAGACAATTAATCTTACTCTGCCGAAATGTGTTTCCTGGAAATGTTCCCCGTTTAAAGTCCTGTGTTTGGCCAATTTTTCTTTATTCATGGGCGATCCTGTATCAGCAAAATATTCATAATTACCAAAAGCAGAAGCGACACCAAAAAATAGTTGAAAGAAAGAATTAGCTTATAACTATCATCGAATTTCAAAAAGTTCACAGAGATATTCAACATTTAGTCGAAAATTTTTATAAATGTTGAATATGCTGCAGAGTAACATTCCTTGCCTCCTTGTCCAAGAAGTAACGAATGAAAATAATGAGTTATTTATTATTGCATTATAAAAAGTTACATTTTTCATCTCAACATAGCAACTAATTTTCTCAATTTCAATTAATTATGTGTACTGACTTCTTGGATTATAAGAAGGAATAAAATGAAAATTATATGCAAATGAAGAAAATGTTCTATTATCTAAAATTACCCTGTCCATTTCAAGAACCGAACGACCAAAAGTTACGACACAAAATATTTGAAAACAAATACAGGGTGGTTTGCTAACCAATATAATTCAAATAAGAAAGACAGTGGCAGACTGGGTAGTTGAAAACTAGAGCCTTTGTAGATTGAAGTGCATAAAATCGACTTTGTTTGATGGTTATAAACAAATATTTCTTCTCAAGGTTGAATGACTTCAAATGGAATGTTAGGCTTTCGACAAGTATGTGCTGGTTGAGAGTAGAAAACACACGAAAATCATTGTGTAACAGTATAATATAAGACTTGCATAACTTATTGTGGACCTCCAGTGTTCCGACATACAAATTTCATCATATGAAGTGTCAAACATTGGGATTAACTTTCATAGGAGGGCGCTAAAAATGCAATGAACTTCATTTACTTTCAGATAACTGACTTCTTTATCGAATTCCATACATTGTTCTCTTTACATTTGATGGTGACCATCATTCTATAATCAATACATTTCAGCGTTTTTCAAAACGAACATTTCCCTGGAAATTATTGAGTTCGTTTCAATTTGGGTGTCACACACTGTATTTGTTCAGAACGTAAAATAGTTGTTAGTTGAGTGTAATTTTTACTTGCGATCCTCGAACTACAGATTCCTAGTATAATTTGTGCTATTAGTAATCTTTTTTAGTGGTTCCTACGTGAACATTTTGAACTACATATTTTTTCATGATTTGAGAAATTCAACAAAAATAATGCCATCATAATCTTAACGAAAGTTCAGTTAGGTTGAATACTGGAGGTTTGAATATATGGATCCTCCCCAGATTCATTTTTGGGAGAGTGTGAGTATAATCTTAATTTTTTTCAATTGACTCGGCCGTTATTTGATGGAAATCCATGGCAAATGAAAAAACTTCACAGACGATAAGATTTCCACAAAATTCTTAAACACACGACATGTTTCGCTAACCCAGTAGCTTCGTCAGGTGATATACTGGAACTAAACCAACGTTGGTTTGCTTAACTTTTATATATCCTACTTTCCCAACTTGAAGGATTAGTTACCTGTGGACAGGTTCGATAAACCTTCATTTACGGAAATTAGCACAATATCTACATTAAAATACGGTGTACCGGATTAACTTGAAAGGGTTGATAGGAAATAAATATTATTACCTACTGAGAAATACTACACTTAGAAAATAAAGGAATGAAACTCAATCATTTCGAATCATTAGAAATCAACAAACTAAAAATTTTTGACATTTTACTCAACGATCAATTAGACATCAATAGTACACCACTGTTGAATTTGTTTTCTTAGTAGGTAATAATATTTATTTGCTATCAACCCTTTCAAGTTAATCCGGTACACCGTATTTCAATGTAGATATTGTGCATAATTTTTGAGAATGAAGGTTTATCGAACCTGTCCACAGGTAACTAATCCTTCAAGTTGGAAAAGTGAGATGTATAAAAGTTGAGCAAGCCAATGTTGGTTTAGTTCCTTGGCCCATATATCTACTACTCATATATGAATCATAGCTGTCCTCGAAGCGGGACCAGCTTCTGTCTCTATAGGTAACGAAATCGACCAATAGGCGAGATGCCGACGTAGGGAAAAAATTATACGAAACTTGTAAAACCAATATGGCTGTTTCCATCCTTCACTTTCCGTCCTTATAGATTCAGAAAGTACCTCTCATTTTGGTCCCATTTTTGTTGAGATATCGTATAGGCGATGAGCCATATATAGAAATAGCACATATATGATTGTACCAGTATATCACCTGACGAAGCTACTGTGTTAGCGAAACATGTCGTGTGTTTAAGAATTTTGTGGAAATCTTATCGTTTGTGAAGTTTTTACATTTAATAATTTTCACCAGGAAGTTGAATGCCACAATATGGCGTTTTACGTCAAAAAATGTGTACCTGTTTGATGGGTGAACCTGTACAGTTATCACAATGTTAGTAATAAAGCATATCACATCTACAAAAGCGAGGCGAATCAAGCAGAAAAATATCAAACTCACCTATAAAGCTGAGCAACACAGGCAAGAAAATCAATCCGTGTGCAGCTCCGTACAACACGATCCCTAAGTACATCCGGAAGTAGAACACCTGGAATATCTGCGACTTGGCGAAGTACAGCACGATGATGCCTCCGAACTTGGTAAGTGTAATTCCGGAAAATATCGAACTGCCCATGCGCGTGAGGGCGTCCGCCGCCCTATCCACTCTACTGGGCTGTATAGACACCGAGAAACAGTGCACCTGATGGTCAAAACAACATGCACTGCTCAGTTATGATATCAGTAAATGTAGGTGTACCGCAGGGAAGTGTTCTTGCCTTTATATTATTCTCCTTATATGGGTGTCACAACTCTATACATGGAAACTAGTAATGGTAATACTATCAATGTTCTGAAACATTTGGCTTATATAATAATAATGATAATAATAGGTCCTTAGTCGGATGAGATGGACACGGATATCAAATGTAGCATTAAACAGTAGAACTTCATTTTGTATTGAAAAGGAAGAGAAAAAAAACAGCGGAAAAAAATTCTTGACAAATGTGAGAGATAGATATACAGGGTGTAACTAAATAAGTGTAAAACATTCGAGGGGGTGATTGCTCATCGAAAAAAGATGGGATCTTTTATATATAGAAACTTCATTGGATCATCCCATGTTAAGATACAGCCCCATGAAGGGGGTATATAAAATTTGTTCAAAAATTTTTTTCACAAGCACTAAAAAAGTTACAGTATTGAAATTAACCTGACATTTCCTACTACCAAAAAGACACTTAGCCAGTAAGTTATTTGGTTTACCCCATGGTTGTAAGGGGTGAAAACGCAACCCCTAAATTTTATTTCCAATGTACCTTTTTGTCTTATTATTTGTTTACCATTTGAAAATTTATTTCCGATAGCCTGTTTCATTCTTAACAAAAAATGTCCCCTGAATTTTTTGCCCAACATAAACCAATTGGCAGCAAAAAATATATTTTACGATCAACTATAGAGATACATCGTCATAAAAGCGAACCGGATTTCTTGTCTTTTTGTAGTTACTACCTGCGTTGAATGATTAAACCATGGGATGAACCAAATAAATGACTGGCTAAGTGTCTTTTTAGTATTGGACCATGTCAGGTCAATTTCAATACTGTAACTTTTTTAGTGCTTGTGAAAAAAATTTAACAAATTTTATGTACCCCCATCAGGGGGCTGTATCTCAACATGGGATGCTCCAATGAAGTTTCTTTATATGAGAGATTCTATCTTTTTTTCGATGAAGAATCACCCCCTTGAATGTTTTACACTTATTTAGTTACACCCTGTATAGACATATAGCTTTTTATCATGAGTTAAGGATATAGGAGATAGATTTATTGAGTTATTTAATTTTTCATCATAAGTTGATGATCACAATCATTTGGCTAGATTTTTTTAAAATTTGTCTTGAAGGAGCTTACTGACATTCTCTTCAGATGGTCATCTAAATTATTATAAACATGAGCAGGCAACGGAAGATTCAAATATCTTTGTATAATGTGGAGGAATATAAATATAATACTGGGCACGAATTTTAACATTATGGAGGTGCCCAAGAAAGTGTGTTGCACAAAAATTAGTCATTGAAACTACTTCTCAACAAACCACCACTGAGCACATACCACGAACCCCCCTATGATTTGTAGTATGTTTGGGTAACTTATTAACTCACAATCAAAATGATGTATCACGCTCCATGAATATGCTCGAGATAATATCAAATCAACAACTTAATAGGTTGTCATATGAGAAACTTCGTCCACCATTATCATTAATCTAAAGGCGGAATCTGACGACTGATGTACCAGATATCTGAATAACCAGTTTTGAGGAAAAGTGGATTGGGAATATTGGCCCTATACGATGGCCACACGCTCCCCAGATTTCGCCCCCTCAGATTTTTGTCTGTGGGATAATTTGAAAAAAGAAGTGTGCACAGGATCTTTTTCTCAGGGTTGATTTACTTTTGGGGTTCTAGCCAATTTGGAACGATAACCTTCAGTGAGCAAGAAATACCTAGATTGCAACAAATTCACCAGGCCTTTGATGTCACAGAATACCATATACTACTGAGTGGTTCTTTTTTTCTAAAACTGAATTAAGACTATTAATAAATCAGGCATAATATATGGGAAATCATTGAACATAGAGAGTAGGGATATAATAAAATGGACTCATTTAAGGACAAAATTATTACAAACTTGTAAGTGAAGACAGTCGTGAACATTATTTAAATACGAGACTCTCAAGGTTCTCAAGGGGGGCCAGACTTGCGGAAGAAAACAAGATTAAATTTGCTAACCGTATAATAGTAAACGAAAAATGGTTAATGTCACGAATATCAACAATGAGTACCAGGTCACACGATTATAATAGTCTAGGAACGCAGAGTACGAAAGATAACGAGGGTTGATTGTTTAAAAATGAAAACAATCGGTACAGCAACAACATCAGCTACTGAAGTCACGCGACTGCGCGATGGCTCTTCTTGGCAATCGGCAAAGGAAAACAGCTCGCTTCAATTCTCAAATTATACTTCTCACCCCTGATACAATGAATGTATCGTGCTTCTCACCGACTGTCCACAGTTGGTAACTAGTGATGACGACTTGCTCGTCCACAGCGGCACTTTAACCAAGCATTCCAAGCAACTCGTTCACTAAAACCCCCGTCAAAACCCTGGCCCCTGGCAAACTCACAGTCCCAAATTCCCGACCTCTCCTTCAGGCGGCCGTCCCCTATCTCTCTCGAACCTTTCTCAAGCGAATCCTCGCTTCCCTCCCTTCGTACTCTCTTGCGAATAAAGTCAAATCCGGCGCACCAATCAGGGTATCACACGCGGCGCGGCACAATTCAAATGTAACGGAAAATGATACATTAATGTAATATTTATACTTTGAACAATGATTTAGGGTGGGCGTGCTACATGTGGCACATCATTTTGAAGGGTGTTCTTTTTATCTTTTTAACGGTACCCTAGTTCATCAATTTCTGATGAGCAGTTTCCGAAACATGTCGTGTCAATTAGAAAACTTCCCACCCTTAATATCTTCCTTCCAGTGAATTATATGAAAAATCGAAGAAATCGGTCAATTTCATCCCAAGGAGGACACTTTGATTGAATAGTTTTAGCCCTCTTGGTTCAACCCCCCAGGAGGGGTTGATGTTACCCTTAAAACCTTATATTAAAAAGGGGTCAAGATTCACATAATTTCAAAGGACGTTCAATTATCTATCCAACAGTACTCTAGTTTATCATTTCATGATCAGCAGATTCCGAAAAACGCCGTTATGAACTCACAGAAGTAATTTGAACATGCCTGTTGATGAGATGCTGAGATGGATTCAAAATCTTCCTACCATTTGGACTGAAAGGAGAGTCAATACAATAATACTTACCTGAAAACTATGCATCACAGTGCAGGCATGTTCTAATTACTTCTGTAAGTTTAGAACGGCATTTTTCGGAAACTGCCCATCAAAAAATGAAAAACTAGGGTATTGTTGAAAAGAGACTTGAACGCCCTTCAAAATAATGTGCATCTTGACCCCCTTTTTATATGAGGTTCTAAGGGTAACATCTACCCCTTCTAGGAGGTTGAACTAAGAGGGCTAAAAATATGTATTTCAAGTGTTTTCCTTGGGAATTAAATTGACGTGTATTCGATTTTTCATATCATTTACTGAAAGGGAGATATTAAGTGGGGAAGTTTTCTAAGTGACACGGCATTCTTCGAAAACTACTTAACAGAAAATGATAAACTAGAGTACCGTTGGAAAGAGAATTGAACGCCCATCGAATTTATGTGCCATTTTTCTAAGGGTAACATCTACCCCTCCAAGGGGGTTGAACCAAGAGGGCTAAAACTTATAATTTCAATTGTCCCCCTTGAGAATATAATCGACCTGTTTTTCCGATTTCTCATATTATTCACTGGGAGGAAGATATGGAGGGTGGTAAGTTTTCAAAATTTCACCCTGTATCTTCTCACATAATATACACTATTTTTATAATTGTCAATTTTGAATGTGAATTAGCTATATGTAACCTATAACGTGATTCACTTTAACAGTGATCTTTGAAAATCAATAAATTTTACTTACCAAGTGAGAGCAGAATTCCACTGATATTCCAACAGCCATGACCAAATTGACCAGCGACACCGCATTCAAAGATATGCTCCACCAGTACATTAGCCCGCACAAGTTCACCACGATCATGGTTATCGTGATAATGACGACCAGACTCGAGAAGAGGTCGAGTCCCATTAGCAGAAAAGTCACTAGGAAAATGGCCAACAAGCTCACCCCCAGACTGAACAAAGTGTCAGGCCACATGGTTAAGTACTGCTCGTAAAAAACGTAAAAGACGGAATAGGGAAATACTTCTACACCAACGGTGTTTGTCAAGTTAGCTGAAATTTTTCTAGCTGCTCGCATGCTTTCGTAATAGTCCTCGGAAGACTTCAGTATAGTGTGGTAGGCCATGAAATAGGACGCGCCCACTTCGGAAAGTTGGGTGGTCGCGTCGAGTTTGTAGTTGACTCCTTGGCCGTATGCCGCGTGACCTGCCTTGGGGCATACGTCGTCTGGATTGTCGCGGAGGAAGAAGGAGACGTAGCGATCGAATTCTTCTGTTACAGGTCGGTGGTTGTCTGGACGGAAGGTGATGTTGCAAGGGAGACAACCTGGAAGAATGATCATTATTAGAATAATTGAAGATAGAAAATATACAGTAGTTATTCATTTGTTTACGAAAAGGAATACAAACCGAACTAGCCCGAAAACAATATTCACAGATGGTTCATATCTCAAAATACAGATACTAAACAAACCGAATAACAATTCCAAAGTTGATGAAATAGTTATTTATTATACAAGAGAAAAAATCAGTAGATTTTAGCTCAAAAAAACCGTGAGCTAAAATCTAATATTTTTTCCGTGTATAATACACTATTTTGTTCTGTGACAGAAGGAAGGACGAATCAATATTGAGAAGCCATGACATTATTTTGAAATCTGAAAATTATGGACGTGAAATTTTAAGTTTTTAACAGTACGAACACCTGCGTTGCAGGCATCTTTATAATTCTTTTGAAGTAATCAAATATCTGATGTCACTTCTGTCAGTCTAATTCTGTGATTTGATTTCATAAAATTGCGAATTTAGTGGTTGTTTAGTAATTTACGTAACTGCGAAGTCGAATGGAAGATAAAAGGACTTGCAGTTCTTTCTAAGAGACGGTACAATTGACTCATTTTTCGGAACTATAGCACAACAAAAGCCATCAACAGTGTATGTATATATGTGATATATATCCGGGAAGAAAGTACTCACTTTTTTCTCACGGGAAAAAAGTAATTTATGACAAGTGACATGTTATAACCTGCCAACAGAGATGAAATGCCAAATTTTTTTCCCGTCACAGAAAAAAATCAATAATTGAGTAGGTACAACATGTAGTGATTGTAATGTGTGGATGGATATGAACAAAGGTGACATAATTTTATTCAATACATATCAAAATATTTTGAGATTGTTTTCATAACGAAAGATGTGATGATTCCTAGTAATATAAGTAGGTGCTGTAAGATAAATATTACTGAGGATAGCAGGCGAATCAACTGAATAATTCATGACTTTATAGAGGAATTTCACGTCTGAACTATTGCTTTATGCACTAGTGATAATAAGTTCCGCTCATTCTGAACATAGGTGCGGTTGCTGAGGTTGACTGGAAATAGTAGATTGTTTTATTAGGATCAAAAGTGACACTTTGTTTGACAAGCGAATTTTGCATTTGCGAGGCGGAGCGTTTAGCGAAGACGAGCGAAAGCAAAATTTGCGAGTCGAAAAAAGTCACTTTTGATCCGAATGAAACATGCTATTTTTTCTGCAACCGAAACAATTAACTCAAATAAATATGTGAAGTTACCACCAATGCCCGTGCCATATGTATGCAATGCAACAAATATTGACAAATAATCCGTGTAGTGAGAACATTCTACCTGCATCAACAGCAGGTTCATTCAATTTTCAAGGATGTTCGAATTGTAGTTTCAATATAAGAACAATCACAGAGTGACATATTTGTGTATGGACCAGGTGCTCTAATAGCAAATACCGCGCCAGTGCCAGCTATATATAGGAACAAGACGTGGAAAATGTTAGGTTAATGAGCATATCAACAATGATAATGGCGATTATTTACTCCTCTCTATAATACAATGTTTTTCGCTTTATAATCAAATGAAGCTAAACAATATCGCTGTTTGAGACGAAAAACTATTGCTTGCCGTGATTATTCAAAAACAAGTAATCCATCCCGAGAATAACGAACGAAATACAGATCAAGGAAGTATTTGAATCTTGAAGGCTTCCCTGATCAAACAAAAATACTTAGCTGAGATGTTTATAATTCCAATACTAAACTATAACAAGGTGTATTTATATCTCCAGCATGGGTATGAAATTCCAAATCTGCTGAAATCGGAAACAAATCAGGTATGCGTCTCAACCCAAATAACCAACCGTCACAATGTTGTTCATTCTTGATGACGTCCAGTACTTCCTTTTTAGTTCCTAAAGTTCAACTTTAGCTCCTAGGAACTAAATATGTTGCCTAGCAACCTACCTATTTTTGTGTCAGTAATAGAAACGTCAATTCGAGAGCTAATTTTGGTATCAAAATGGACGACTTTTGTGTCGGTTGCAGAAAAACATTTTTTATTCACATAATCTATGAATATATTCTGTATCCGTTAAAGTTTAGGTGGGTGGGTCAATAGTGTGTTCATCTGCGCTATCAGCCAAACCGTCAGAGATATGAAAAAATTGAATACAATAGTTATAAGGTTACATGAGAACTATCACCTGAGATTATTTTCTTATCTATAGGGTATTTGAATTCCAAGATATCGGCTGATGATAGGTTTTTAAATGGGACTCCCTATATAATATTGCATTTTTAGGTTCTCCCTGAAGAGCTGATTTCATCAATGTATCACTTGGGGTCTAACAGGAATGATTTTTCAACTCAAGGATTTTTTTGTGTCAAAACTATTCATTATTGGTCAAAACAGGTTACATGCCTCTATCTCAACTTTAGATTTACTAGCTAATGACGTTTAATTGGAACAAATACAGGGTGGTCAAGATTCAAGAATTCTGATCAACATGTTTCTGTCCCAATTAAATGTCAGTAGATAGTAAATCAAAAGTTAAGATAGGGACATGTGAGCCGTTTTGACCAATAATGAATAGTTTCAACACAAATCCTAAAGATGAAAAATCTCGATTTTGAACACCCTACAACTCTGTAATCATTCCTGCAAGACCCCAAACATGATAAATTGATGAAATCAGCTCTTCAGGAAGAACCTTAGAATGAAATAATATACAGGGTGTTCCATTAAAAAACATCATCAGCCGATATCTTGGAATTTGAACACCCTATAGATATTAAAATAATTTTAGGTGATAGTTCTCATAAAATGTAGGTAGTCAAGCGTTCCTGAACAACTTGAGCACAATTCAGCACTTAGGAAGGAAACACTTGCGATTTTATCCGTACGAATTATTGAATAGATTCCGGGAGGGTGTAATTCAATGTTCTGCGTGGCAAATAGCCAGGAAAGTATTGTTTTTCTCTCGTTATCAACCATTTTCGTTTATTTATGCACATTTGTGGAAATGACTTTGAGCTTTGAGTATTTATTCAACATTTCATTCCATATTAGTTGCGATTCTTCATTTGTTTGTATATTTTACAATTCATCACTCTCAAGATTCAACTGATTTCAACAATTTTATGGATGAACTGAGCAAGACAGTTTAAAATTCACTTGTTATTTCTTATACACTTATGGGGGTGAAACCTATACATTGATGACATTTATTAGATAAGTGAATATCAAATTATCTCTCAACATTTCACCGTTTGGTCGATTCGGAAATTGACAAATATTTACTTGATATTTCCTTAAAATAGTAACAGCTGGCAACGCAGGAGAAGGGATTATCACGTCAGGATGAACAGTTAGCCGCAGAACGCTGTTTGAACGTTCCATAAAATTGTAGGGTATTCAAATTGTATTTATTGAAGTATTACAGCATATGTTATCAAAAAATGTATGCACTCGTGTTATGTAACTACTATTTTTCAATTATATGCACATTTAAATTGAATTCACGCATTTGTGTTTTTGCCTATTACCCGTAAAATAAACATTACTAAAACAAGTATCGAAGTCAAGATTCGTATATTATGAAACCAAATTTCACTTACCGGATTTGTCATGAGGACAAAACCCATGGTTATCCTTGCGAAATTTGCAGCAATTAGGAGTATCAGCCCAGTCGAAGTAATCATCCAACCAGCTGGTACTAGGCCTGGAAATATAAGTCGTCTCAGGAATCTTACTGGCCCCATATATCTGCGTAACCAAAGAATCCACATTGCAATAGGTCCCAGAACAAATCAGATTCTGCGCCTCAGGCTGACTATAGTTCAATCCACTCTTCACCACAAAGTACATCGGAGGTCCGATACTCAGATAATCTTTGAGGAATCTGAAGTATTTCAACACGAAACTGTCTTCGGGCATTGACAGTTCTTGATCGAGGCCTATTTCCACGTGAGGCACTATGGCGATCGATGAACAAAGCCATCCGAAGAAAATTATCATCACGGCACATCTCACGGATTTGTTCATGAGCACAGGAACGTAAATGGATTTGAAAAAGGTGTAGAGTATGCCTTCTTGTCCGGCTGGAGTTGGTTCATTCTTCTTTGAGCCTCTGATGAAGCAGAAGATATCGAATCTGAAAAAAGTTATTTATTATCAAACACAGGATGCATGATCAACGATCTTGGTTACATTATTTTGTAAGGTCAATCTTCAACTAAACCAGTATTTGATACAACGATCATGTAATGATAGCTATCAATAATAATGATAATAATAATAATAATAATAGAGGCTTCATTTTCAATATCCTCGGCGAAGTCCAGCAAAGCTGTTCTACTTAACCAAGTACCATATTACAACATTTGAATTAAGTAACTACCTACATAGTAGCTTAAATATAAACTAATTTATCTAATAAATATAAGTATCACATTATTATAATCATAGATGAAGGAACCCATTATAATATATTCTAAAAAAAGTTTATTCAGCAAAAAAAAACAATTTTGTGGACTTTTTGAAGAGAAACATTGATTTATTCTTGAACTCTTGTGGGACAGAATTGTGAAACAAATATGAACTTCCGAAGTGTATGTTAATTGATGTTGAATATGCAATTTACGCCTATTGAACATATTTAGCCATCTCAACTCGCTAAGTTTATTGGAAATGTAGTCTCTGGTTCTGAGTGAGTAAATTAATCTGATACAGGAATTCTGAATTCTTTGAATTCTCGCTGACGAAACTGCATCCAAGCATGGATCATATACCAAATCAGCATAATTAGTATGACTCAATACTAGTGGTACACATAATTACTTTTTCAAGGTTACATTGATGAAAGACCTACTGCGATATAGATTATTCAACGAAGAGTAACACTTACTAACAATAGATTTGACCTGTGCCTTGAATCTCAGCCTACTATCAAAATCAATTCCTAGACTTGGAATTTCAATTTTTAAATCAGATTTCACTTCTACTGATACATCACCAAAACATATAGCATGGGCCTTCTTTGGGTTAATCTTCAGTAAATGCTTATTACAGTGTTTTCCAAAGTTAGATTTATATCTAAACAGTATTCAACTCATCAGTAAGAAAACTTTTATAAACTTGGGTGTCATCAGCAAACTGATCAATTGTAGAATTTACAGAATTCCTATTAAGATCCATGGTATATATTAAAAATTGAATAGGTCCGAGTAATGTGCACTGCGGTACACCTTTATAAACTAATCTAGAGCTATCCTGCGCATTGTCAATTAACATATATTGGTTTGTATGAGAAATGTGATAGTTTGACAATACTATCAGAACAGAAAAGTCATAATAGTTAATTTTAGCCAAAAGGAGTTCCTTGCCTAAAGTGTCAAACGCCTTACTGTAGTCTAATGAAATTAGTGTTATAATTTTTCCCTCATCTATTGCCCATATGATATCATCCAACATTTTGGTCAATGCAGTACTTGCATGGCCGGTCCAACTAAACCAAGGAAGGAGTGGCTGCTTGGCAGACACCGCCAAGTACTCCGCCTCCTCATAGGAGTACTCACAGGACACAACAGGCTAGGCAGACACCTATCACTTATGGGAATAGAGGACAACCCCACTTGCCGCAGATGCGGGGAAGACGAGGAAACGTCACTCCATTTCCTCGGCGAGTGCGAGACGTACGGATGTCTGAGATTTGAAATCTTTGGAGTAGACAAACTCCAACAGGAGGACTTGATTATATTAGAGTGGACGGACATACTGGCCTTCATCAGAAGGTCAGGGAGATTCGTAAAGGAAATCTAGGTGAAGGAAGCGTAGATATGTGGAGAGCAGGGGTTAGCAAAAAGGGCCCATCGGGGCCTACTACTACTACTACTACTACCACTTGGTCAATGCAGAAACTGTCCTGTGAGCACTCCTAAAACCCAATTGGATTTCTGGAAATAACTTATTGTCCGTTAAAAACTGTACCATTTACAAATATATCAATTGGCCTCAATTCAGAAATATAGCTATATATATATATATAGGAAAACAGCTATCAGTCAAACAACAATTATAGATATGTGTTGAGTGAGGCAATATGCTTGGTTAAAGCTGAGTTCAACTTGATATTAGTTATTGCAATCATTACATCATTCTCCGAGACAACTTGCAATTTGCTTTGGATTGCATCTAAAAATTTCGCATTATTATAACTATCAACCAAAACAGGAGCACGAAGTAGCTGACAAAACGAGCCAATGGCGAGTGTCATAAACCGTGTGTATTAATAGCCAATTATATGCTCGTTGCATCCCCATTTTTTTCTACGACCAATAAATAAACAAATTCAGTTCATAGTATTTATATTACATCTTCTGTCCATGAATTGTCTGCAGTTTTGATGCTTTGAAGGTCAATTGGATATAAATGTCAAACAACTCAAGCAAGTGAGGTAGGAACATTGACCTGAGTACATGTTTCTATTGGCCAAAAATTCGTTCCATAATAAAAAGTATGTACTTTCAATTAGTTCCATAATCGGCTACTTTGGCGATGCGATCTTAAATTCAGTCGCCTATCCCCACCATTCGCGATTTCATTTATTTATCCGTGTTTGGCGTTTAGTATTGTTGGCGTATACTCTTCAATGATTCAAGAATTAATCGCGGAATCTTGGTCTGAGGTTTCACATACCTGTTCCCAGCTTGACGAATCGTATCCAACGACAACAGGCTCACAAAGCACGTGATCTGCAACAGGAAGTCGAACAGCAGCGCCATCCCGGCGTACAGCGCGAACGCCCGCACCGCCGGCATGTCCGACAAGCTGCCCAAGAAGAAGCAGCAGCTCTCCGAGGCGCTGGTCAGCAACATGGAGGGCCCCACCTGGCCCAGCGTCCTGCCGATGTGCTGCGCATGCGTCTCGTTCGGTTTGCGTGTGTCCCGCTGGTGGGTCTGCACGAGGATGAAGATGTTGTCGACGCCGACGGCGAGGACGAGGAAGGGGATGACCTCGATAATGATAAGAGTGGCCGGGATGCCGATGAATGCGAACATGCCGACCGAGGAGATGACCGAAGCCAATACTATTATGACACCTTGAAATAGAAGGATGGTATATTATTCAACTTGTGGTCAGATTAGGTTAGAAGAATTGACAGAAAATTTGTAATGAGTCAAAATAAAATCGACTTGATTAGCTACAGTCGAGAATATATTGAATTCGCATGCGTATACGAGTGATTAGACTAGTGGGATTTCGCTCCATACATTTTGACCCCGGTAAAAAATGTGATATAGAACTGTAGGATACTTGAATCCTCTATCAGCTTAACTTTTATTTCGGACATGTTATGTTGCTAAATAAGGATATAATATCATTATTATAATAAACCTTTGAGTTGAAATCGAATGAAATATACATAGAAGTACTCGACAATATTTGTTATAAATGGCACAGTCGGCAGCAGGAGATATTATAAGGGCTGATTTTACGAGTTACCGAACTGAGAGAAATATTCCAAATATCAGTACTAGGAACCCTGAACGTGAAAATGACATAATATAATTCAAAACGGATTCGAACAATATGGATATTTGATGAAGAAACTATATCTGAATGGGTGAAAACACTGAATTTAAATTCAAATATGGATCAATCTTTGAATATTATTTTGACAGGCAAAGACTATTGTCTTGTGCTGATTCGAAAATAGCAGAGGAAGTCATATTGGCTTTAATAGTTCTTGGATGGCCATATCATAACCAAAGGCAAATTTCGAATAAGGACATGAATTTCTCCATGTTAATTAATAATGAGTTGACAGTAGAGTTCAAACATACCTATTATTATTACTGAGTTTTTGCGAACTACGACAATTCCTATACATGCATACGAAGAAAAAACAAAGCAAAACAAAAATAGAATGTCAAACCATTAAAATAAGGATGTTAAAATTCAAAATAATGGCGTTTGAAGTCTCCCTCATATATAGAAGGTCCTCACAGAATTGAAGGTGTTGCATAAATAATGATCGATACGTCTTTTTTTTAATTGGCTCAATTCCAACACAAGCTGTAGGGCTCGTTGCGCATCATGAATATCGTTTCTTGGGGAGTTGATTTCCAGAGCAATTGAGAATCAACAGTCCACTACTACTTTCACAACCACCCTGTATAATTCAGGTATTTGCATAAAATATTGTCATCACATATGAATATCAGGACGGGTGCGGTTTCATGGAAACTTGAACATCATGTATAATATGATAGTAGTCTGATTCAAGAAATGCAATTATCATGAATCGATGTTGATACTAGTATACTACGAAATGTTCAAAAATAAATTAATTTCAACCGCTCACTTTTTCGGAAATAATTGGAACATTTGCTATTTTTGGACCAAATCTGTATATCGTGAGTACGTGCAGATATCATTGAACTCTATAGTGGATTTTCACCGGCCACATGGACTAATAAAACGTAGTCGATTTGATTTTGGTATTCAGAAACGAAACTTCACAATTTTGAAAAAATCAACTTCAGCACCCTGTATAATCCAAACTATTGAATTTAGAGCGTTGATAATTGGGACATCTGATCAGCATCACGAGTTCTACGATATATCCAAAATTCGAGAAAATTCACCGAAAGCCAATTTCCCCCCTATTGCGGTGCGGGGTCCTTTGTTTTCACGGGAATTTACCATAGGCTACCAATAGCATATAATCACCCATGTCAAATGAAGGAATGCTTCATTAAACATATTATCATCATAGAGGTTGCAATAACTTACCTCCGAGCCCGAGTGTCACCTTGCTATCAATCAGCAACCTCGAACAGCTATTCACCTGCCCCAACGAAACAGCGATGTACACGAACATAATCAAGTACGATATCAAAATGGTGAGCACGTCGCTTTGGCTCTCACGATCCAATTCATCCATGATGGACCTCTCAGAAGTGAACGCCAAGTCCATGAAATAGGGCTTCTCATGTTCAGTATAATTCTTCATGAACGCTATGTACTCTTTCTCCCATTCCATGGCGGGAGATAACAGCGATTTGTTGTGGTAGTTGTTCACGATGAAGGTTAGAATAACAGCGGTGGCGTTTTTGTAGTCGGGATCTTTCGCCAGAGACTCGCCGGGTTGGAGGAATCCTCCGAGCGCGACGGCCGGGTCGACGGGACCGCCAAATGGGGCGAGGCAGTCCAATGGGTCATATGGGTTGCTGGAAGGAGGTTTTTGGGTAATAACCGTGATACTATTTTGCCGGAAATATTCGGCGATTGTTACAGCTTGTTGCCTAATAATTTCGCGAATGACATTGTTCACAAAAAACTTTCGCGCCGTAGGCGAGATGATTTGAATCAATGTCAGGAGCGGAATTAAAGCAGCAAGCTGGAGTATGTCAATTGACGAATATTTCCAGGAATAGTATCATTTGTGGAATTCGCAAGAATATTTCTTGATTGAGACAATAAACGAGCGGCTCAGTAGAGTTGCGCACACTGCATCCATCATATTGGCTTCCAACATAATTGACGTTGGGTTGGTTGAATATGGAAGAAAGGCGCTTAGTGCATGCTTGCATTCTTTTTCACAAAATCATAATTTCGAGAACTCCACCATATTTATACAATAAAATCAGATTCAGAACGGATGTTCACAACCTCAATATTAGACACAAATCGCGCATCACTCATCCACAGCATAAGTCAACTTTCTATGAAGGATCTTTCAGTTTTCATTTGACTAAGGTATACAACTGGCTTCCAGAGGAGTTGAAAAGTGTATCTGTTTTTGTCCTCAAACAGAGGCTGAAAAATTGTTTGATATCAGGGAGAATTTCGTTTCCTTGATATAGTTCTCTGTCAATATCTGTTCACAACTGATCTATGAAAATATCTCTAATATAGGACTATAGTTCATAAATATGTACATATCTTCTCTCTTTTTTTTCTGCTTTTTCATCTTTCTTCTGTTATGAACATAATGATGTTTCAGATGATTATGCATGTATCATTCAATTATTATTAGATTCTAGTAGTTAGTTATTTTTAAATATATATTTGAACTCATTCATATTGACTTGAATGCATATGAATGAGTTTTTACTGGTTGAGTGGAAGAGCAAATTCCTGTCTTCACAGGCAATTTGAACTCTGCCATTTGGCAGGCATTTATTAAGTGTTCAACCTGTATATATCAACTGATATAATGTCTGTCCAATAAAAACATTTATTATTATTATTATTATTATAGACGTCAAAAATTTTATCGCTGAAAAACGAGGTTGGTCGGTCACGTGTCACCCATATTTTCTAAGGCACTTCTACACTCGGACACCAATTTAGTTGTGATCCTATTGGATCTCAATGCCATTATAGCAGCTTTACTGTCCGAGCATATGGTGACATGTCCATGTCCACTTCTGTCGAAATTTTCTTGGACACACGTCAGAATTGCAAACACTTCGGCCTGGAACACTGAAGCGTATTTGCCAAGAGGTACTGAGATTCCTTTCCCTGTTCCTCCTTCATATACTCCTGCACCAGACCCGCCACCATACCTTGAGCCATCCGTGAACCAGGTTGATTCGTTGGCAGGAAGCAAACCTGGTGTACTGCCAGTCCATTCTTCTCTTGTAGGAAAAATGACATGCGGAGCTTTATTGAAATTCAGAACTAGCGTGCTGTCTCTTACCATCAGCAGACTGGGACAGCTTTCTTCGGCCTTGTTCCATATTAGGGAGTGTCCATAGTCTGCCTTTTCGATCCATTGGTTTGCACCTTTGAGTCTGTAGGCAGTGCGCATGGCTTCATGCTCTATAATCAGATGTAGAGGGGACAGACCTAGTAGGACCTCAACGGCCCTAGTAGGCGCTGTTCCCATAGCACCTGTCATTCCTAAGCAAGCCAGTCGCTGAACTCTATCCAGTTCATGTCTGGTTTTGCTCTTTTTATTACTGGTCCACCATACGATGGACCCGTACGTTAGTGTTGGGCGAATAATTGCCGTGTATATCCAGTGAAGGGTCTTAGGTGATAGGCCCCACGTTTTCCACTCCACCCCTTTTGGAACTAGGAATTGGTACAAATAGTTGCCAGTTCGTTGAAAAATTCCGCGGATACAGTGTTGGGAATAGGTTGAATAAGTTGGAAATCAACAAAGACGACTCCAGGCGTCAATGTAGTATGGGTCGTCTACAGAAAACATGTCGCAGTTACACACTGTAATCGCTCTTATGGCAGCGGTTAGAGCGCTTACACCGTCCAATCGCGACATGTTTTCTGTAGACGAGTGTAGTTATGACTATGGAGAAAAATTTAAAAGGCGTTCAATTCTGATTTAAAAGCTCCAAAACACTTTATTCTTCTACAAATAACATGAACACCGAACTTAACCTAGACAGTAGACAATCACATAATGCTACAAACCGGTTTTTCCAATCACAAAATTATTACGAATTTATCAAAATGGTAAATTTTTCTTAGCTAGATTTTCAAAACAAGCAATGCTGTTCGGTAATCTATGTACCTTAATACATTCTACTAGAAGGTGTTCTGGCACAGTCTTTGTAACAACGATTTCCAACACTCTGAAGCACTTATTGTTAGATTCAACTCAGAGGCTTGGAACAAACTATGATCCAATCGAAATTTTGGTTCAAATAATAATTACTACAAATAATGATAAACGCACTGATGATCGGACTGTAATAATAACCCCAACGAACAACTATAAAACTAAAGGCGACACAGCGGCGAAAAGCGTATTCATATTCACGCGCAGTGCTTTTTGTCTGCGGCCATATCGTTCTGTGAATGACTGTGAACAGTGTTGACAAGCCAGTTAGCAATTATAATTGGGTATGCGCCACACACAGCACCACAGAGAAAAACAAATATCAGCTGACTGGACCTTTAAATTGGTACAGTAAACTTTCTTTCTCTAATATTCGATGCCTTTTATATCCCGTACATCTGTAAGGTATGTTAATCTGTGATATAGGAACAGGAAGTTACTGTATTGCCACTCTGACAAAAATAATTATCATCATTTTCAATTGTTTCCCGCACAAGTCTTTTGAAGACTTCTGAGGGTTGCTCGTAAGGGGGCAACCAAATGACGGTTAGAACAATTTTAGAAATACATTTTTAGAAACTCTAATATTGAGTCAACATGGTGTTCCAACACCGAGAAGAAAATCATGAGCATATACTCACCTAGCACACTTGATGAATTTGTCCAAATAGTTAGTTGGATAGTGTAGAGGATCAAAACCGGTTTCATCAAAGTTATCAACATCATCCTGGTAATAGCCCCAAATGCTTTGTACGACACACTCTTCCACTGACGTATCAGACTGATCCTCTTTTCTCAAGGGAGCAAAACAGATTTTGTCAAAACTGTATGGGGTTCCCTCTCCAACAGCTTTTATTTTTTCTTGAAGTTCTCGAACTGATTTCAAAAACGTGTCATTGAAAGCAGGACCGAAAGTTATTATGCCATCAGAAGTGTTGTGGTGTATGTAGGAGAGGTTAACAGCCCTTATGATGACCATTTCTGTGCGATAGAAAGGCTCAAAGTGGCTGTCAAAATATTCTTTTTCTACACGACTTCGGGATGTTGGAGAAGCCCATAATTCCACTGGATCAGTGACGATCTAGAAAAAAAAAATGGATGAAGTTCATTTGGATCTATAGATCTTATTGCAGTGCACAATAAATTATAATACTGGTACAGGTAGGGGGACGTTTGCACGTCAGCAAATAGTCCCTAATGGGACCTTTTTGCAAGCCCCAAGGTTTTTTTTCAATGACTGATGTGGTTCGCTTAAGAGAGCTGGCTAGCATCCTTTTCAGGCACCGCCCATCAGCTCTCTTTCAGAGTTTTTCGGCTGTGTTTTGTAGGCTAGTAATGTACTCACTACCATATGCTGCAGTGGCAGGCCTGCTAGCTATCCTCGTTAACCCCCGTCAGAGACCGAGGTCCACTTAGCAGCTGGCCCGCTCTCGCGCTCAGCTCGTAGTTTTTCCACACCCACCTACATACACCGTCCTACTTCTTCTCAGATGCTCACAACCACATCATCGTCTCTTTCTGCGAGTTCTGTGTAGGCTTTGTTACTAAGTCCATGCGCCACTTTAGGAACAGCACTGTTAATTGGAACGCAACAGCGAATCGTGCAGGACTATCCCCAGCCGATGCTCGGAAACTTTACAATATTCAATTCGTAAATAAAATATTGCTCGTGCTGGGACTCGAACCCACGACCTTGCGGTCGTGAGACGGACGCTCTTCCACTGCGCCAATCCCGGCTCATAAATTATAATACTACTTGTACAGCGATTTCATTCACGAATTCAAAGTTTATTTACCTTCAGATATTTTATTCCATGTCCGAGACCCATGACTAAACAAGCCCCTAAGAACAAAATCAACCAAGGTCTCTCAGCACAGAAGGTTCCCCATTTCTCGAATCCTTTTTGTAGGTAAGTGTCAGTGTTCGCACCTAATTTTTCAATGAATGAAGACGGCTTGTCGTAGTCGTCGGATGATTTGTTGATTGAGTGTGTTTCGAGTTCATGTCCCATTTCGGATGTCATACCTGAGGACAAACAAAACAGATGTTTGATGTAGGTAAACAGTTAATTTTCAGGACTTGAGTACCCAAGGGAAGACTTAATTAAAACAAAATATTATCAATGAAAAAATCAATGCTAGGTCTCAATATACCTAGTCTTTGATAAAAATCAATGATATATAATGTATACTAAGTTAATTGATTCTCTATGGTGAGGTAATATTTCCAAAACTAAGAAAATCACTATTGTCGCCACTATGAAATTCAGAAAAAAACAATTAAAATGTGATTTGATTAGAGATATGTGATTTATTTAATGTTTATGCCTCAAAATTAAATACAGGGTGGCTAAAATCGATTTTTTAATTCAGAGCTTTTTGATTCGATTTTTCTCGAGAACGCGAATGCGAAACTATGTAGACATGTAAAATCGGTTGTTATGATTGAAAACGAACTAATGTTTTTAATGTTCCTGAAATTCAAGTAATAGACCTCAAAATCAAACTTCTTTTTTAAAAATATAGTGTGTCATATTCAAGTAAACTCATCGGAAATAAGTTTCATTTGAAAGTATGTAGACATGTAATATCAGATGTTATGGTTGAAAACGAATTAATGTTTTTAATGTTCCTGAAATTTTAGTAATAAATCTTAGTTACTAACAAGTAGAATCAACTTCTATTGTAAAAATATAGTGCGTCATATTCAACTAAACTCATCGGAAATATGTTTTTTCAAGTTTCATTTGAAACTATGTAGACATGTAATATCAGATGTTATGGTTGAGAACGAATTAATGTTTTTAATGTTCCTGAAATTTTAGTAATAAGTCTTAGTTACTAGAAAGTAAAATCCACTTCTAGTGTAAGAATATAGTGCGTCATATTCAACTAAACTTATCGTAAATATGTTTTTCTTAATTAATGTTTTTAATGTTCCTGACATTTTAGTAATAAATCTTAGTTACTAACAAGTAAAATCAACTACTATTATATAAATATAGTGTGTCATATTCAACTAAACTCATCGTAAATTGTTGGTTGGTTGAAAACGAATTAATGCTTCAATGTTCCTGATATTTTAGTAATAAACCCCAGTTACTAGAAAGTAAAATCAAGTTCTATTGAAGAAACATAGTGCGACATATTCAACTAAACTTATCGGAAATGTTTTTTCAAGTTTAATTAGAATTCAAAACTATGAAGACATTGGATTTCAGATAACAAATTTGTTATTTAATGTTTCTCACATTTCAGTAATAAAAACGAGTAATACCTAAGTAAAAAATTTTATTTGACATCTACGCAGAATGGGTCGTGGGGTTCATCTTCTCATCATATTAAAAGCAACTCCAATTTATGAAATTATCTTACAGCATCTCCTATGCCTCAAAATTTCCGATAATTTTTTTCTCGGTATCACTCATGTTCTTGATGATAGAAATTTTTTTGTCAACAAAGGCATGGCCTCGGACAAAATTATCAGTAATACTTCTGCTGCTAGGGAGATTATAAGTGATAATTTATTATGAGCTATCATTACCCAAGTTATGCATATAAGTTAAGGACCACCCTGTATAAGTGAATATACAATCGAGTCTAACGACATGTGTCCTCAAATGAATAATTAAGTAGATATTAGGGTCTTTAGAACACGCGATTTTTCTTAACAGAGCAATTGTTTTAAAGACCAGTTATCCACGAATAATTTATCCTATTTTGTTCTATTGGTACACTTCGAGATCATGCATATGGTAATAACAACTAATAATGTAAGATGGTTGAAAATTAATAGTGATATTTTATTTGATGTTAAATAATATTCCTGTCAGATCGATAATTAAAACGTTGACATTCAGACTTCATGTTTCTCAGCTGGTTGATGTTGTTATATGTTGCAGTGGTAACTTCATTATAAACCGCGCGTTTTTTAAAGTTGAATGAGGCGTTATTCAAATAAGCATAGTAGGGTACCAATAAAGAAAATGAAATCAGAAGATGAATGAATTTATTATTATGTCAAGATGATAATTTTGTATGTCAGATATTTCTACCTGGTGGAATTTGTTATCCATACGGGGTAGTGGTATTAGATTAGATTTAGATTAGATTAGATTTATTTCCCAATAAGATGATACAATTTTCTTCTTAATACTAATGATAATGATTGTTATAAATTCACATAAAATATGTATATCTTGCCTTAGGCGTAGGGAAACAGCTGACTGGTGTATTACAAAGATTTGATATTAAAATTGAAGTTGTGTTGGTCACAAACAAAAGTTAGTTAGGTGCAGAGTCGGTGAAAGCTTGAAATGAGTTTTATTTTATGAATACAATTTTTTTTGTTATTTTTTTTATAGGAAATTAGTTGCAAAGAATTCATTGAGATCATAAAATACATATTGACGTAAGAGTAGTTTGAGGTTAGTTTGAAATTTTTTCTTACCAGCAAATGCCTTTAAATATACAGGGAGATGATTGTATATGTTTATGCCAGTGTACATAGGTCCCCTACGTGTTCGATTATATCTGTAGGCAGGTAAAATGAAGGACTGATCTCTTGTTGAATATATGTGTCTATCCGATGACTTTGTGAGTTCACTACGATTTTTATGTATTAGTATTGAGATTTTAAAAATGTATAAATTCACCAATGTAAAAATGCCGGAGTTTTTAAAATATTCTTTACAAGATTCCCTATACTGGAGTCCGAAGAGGGTACGAATAGCTCGTTTTTGTTGGCTAGCGAATATGACTAAAACTATTACTCTGGCTCCTACAAAATCAACTATTACTTGGGGGTTTTGATCAGTCGATCAGTCACCCTGTCACTCAATTGTACAGACATACGATTAGAAAATTTAGAAAAATTAGAAACGTGTATTAATACCAATTTGTATGTTAGTAGTAATATTATAATTAAATCATAATATACACTCTTGAATATAAAAGGAAATGTAATTTTCAGTATTATTATTTTCAAGAACTTGCTTCGTTGAGGCTGATCATGAATTTTCCTCAAAATCAAGAAAGAGCCATAATATCTTGGAAACTGATCAGATATAGGAGATTAACATCGATACAGATCGATTCGGAATTAAATTATTCTTCGTTTAGTGATAGAAAAAACTGGCATTCCATTTAAAAAAAATAGTTATGGGTACTTGAACTTTCGCAAACGTATCCCCCCCCCCCCCAAAAAAAACATTATTTTTCTTACTGACCCCCAAAAATGAAGAGGAAAGTGCAAACTGAAGAAAAAATCGAAGAAGCTACATATATCGAAAACGGCTGACATAGGAAAAACTATTGAAGATCATCTTAAAATAACAGTAGGAAAAAGGAAAAGCAATAAGAAATATATAGTTTTCTATTTGAGATAACGAAGTTGATGTCCAAGTCCTGTATAACCAGAAGTGCTGCCATCTTGAAAATATTTTCATTGAACCCAATCGAAAACCCCCGTATTGTATACAAATTTTCAAATCAGTGTCATTTGCACAACTCCAAATACTTCGAATTTGCGGTTTAGACGGAACAGCCTGTATAATACTAGGTAGTGGAATATGAACTTTATGAAACCACTAAAAATATGAAACTATTTTGAATGGTGATGTTTATTGAGTCCATGGTCATGAATGAAACTAAATATTTGGTTTATTGAGGATGTTTTGTTTGCACTTCTTGAAGGATGGAAGAATATTTATTTCCCGAGTAAACAAATTGATGATACCCAAAGTAACAAACGGATTCATATTGTCACTAATTATTATAACTTGGTGTTATTCAAGTTCGATCGTCACATTTACATCATTTCAGTAATTTCTATTCAATTTATTAGGAAGTGCATCCAACATCTCCTTATGCACTAAACTTATACTTACTTCTGACGTTGCACCAGTATCAAATATAAAATATAATACCAGCATGGGATACATCTACCTACATGTACCCATTAATTTTGATATTTTTTTTATCGCTTGGAGCGCACGAAAGGGAATCCCTATAATGTTCAAAGAACATCGTGCGTTCCTAGGGAGGATAGGGACCGGAGGTAGGTATTGGAATTCCAGAAACTTGAGTTATAATCCAAATACTTAATTGCGAATTATTTCAGTAGCTAGCTAAAAAATGGATATTTTTTCCAGACCATTAATGATATAGAAAAAATAAATTTCATTTTCTTGTTGCAAATTTTCCTCCTACTTTTCCTATACCCAAACCTCATAATTTCGGAGATGCCTAAACTGCCTGAAATTTTGGATGTTTCTAATAGGCTGTGGAAAATATCAACAAATGAATGGGGTTGTACACACTAGTTGAATTTACGCCACATACTTATTACATCGCAAATATTTTTTTTTCGATAATTAGATTCGGCGACTTCAAAAATGGCCAGGTTCGATGACGTCATGGGCCGAAATCTAGCTTTCGCATAAAAAGTAGGACCACATATTTCGACACTGCCAAATTTGTATCTAGTAATTAACTTATGAAAATTCAATATGACCAATGACATTAGTATTCACATTCACAGAAGACAATAGTTCGACCTGGTTCTTAATAATCACTTATTGAATACTTATACAGGGTGTTTCAAAAAACCTGACCCCCTTTCTAGGGTAGGTAGAACACTGCAAAATAAGTTGGGTTTACTCAGTGAAAAAATTTCCGTTACCAAGATACAAGGTGTTGAAAAAATGATTTTTTACACACTTTTCAAGATTATGTCAAAACTACTGACAACATTGTAGTGAAATTTTGTATGGATGTTTCTTGGAATCTGACACATCGCATGCATTCGTTTTTATATCTGACTCTCATAGAGGTCGCTACTTACACGGTTCGTACCGAGTAGTTTTGAATATAACTTTTTTGGGGTTAGATTTTTCAATCCAAATTTGATGTGAACTTGAACATCATCCAATTCCACACCAAAAAGGTACTCCTGGTAAAACTCGATACTGTGTTCCGTTTTCGGAATATTTCGATTTGAAAACGATGAAGTGATAACTGTTGCTG